AATTCTGTGCTGTGCTGCGCCGTGCTGGATTGCGATGCGCCGTGCCACGACTGTACTCTATAGCGTTGTGGATCGAGTCCCCCTTGGCATCCCAGTCCTGACCGAACTGATCTGGATCTTAAGCTCAAGCTGCCTAAACACATAGTAGCTGCCCCAGAGCTAATTGACAGGGTGACATGCCAGGAGGTCGCGCCGCGGAACGTCTCAAGGGACGTGCCAAGCTACCTGCCAGGGACGTGCCATGGGGACGCACCGCGGGACGTGCCAAGGGGACGCGCTACGGAACGTGCTGGGGACAAGCGTTTCGCTCGAGACATCTTGTGAAAATCTTCATGCTAGACATCCGCCTGAGCGACCTGGACACATGAAAACAAACGTTTCGTTCAACACATCCTCAACACATTCTCATGCTAGACATCCGCCTGGGCGAACTGGACACGTGGAAACAAGTGGTTCGCTCGAGACATCCTCAACACACCTTCATGTGAGACGTCCGCCTGGGTGACCTGGGCAAGTGAAAACAAACGTTTCGCTCGAGACGTTTTCAACACCTTCTCATTCTAGACATCCGCCTGGACGACCTGTACGCGTGCAAGCAAATGTCTCGTTCGAGACATCCTCAACACATCTTCATGTTAGACATCCGCCTGGGCGACCTGGACACGTGAAAACACACGTGTCTCTCAAGACATTCTCAACACATCCTCATGCTAGGCATCCGCTTGGGCAACCTGGACACTTGCAAACAAGCATCTCGATCGAGACTTCGTCGACACACCCTCATGCTAGACATCCGCCTGGGCGACGAGGACGCGTGAAACCAAACGTCTCTCTCGAGACATCCTCAACAAATCTTGTCGCAAGACCTCTGCCTGGGCAACCTGGAAGCGTGAAACCAAGCGTCTCGCTCGAGACATCCTCAAGACCCGGGCACGTGAAAACAAGGATTTCACTTGAGAGATCTTCTGAATTCTGGTCCCCAGGAGAGGACAATCTCTTACACAAAACAAGCGTTTCGCTCGAGACATCCTCAACCAAATTCTGAAAACAAGCGTTTTGCTAGGGACATCCTCAAATTTTGATTCGCCGGCCCACCTCGACTTCGATATTTTTCGCAAAAGAAATTAGCTGGCCCACCTCAAGTCCAACCCGGAGGTAAACCAACTAAAAGAGAACCCTGGGCTTATGCCCTTTCTGGGAACAGTGATCATTTGCAGTATTGCGAAGGCCTTACGGCCGGTGCCGCCGACCCTGAATGGCGACGACGACGACGACGACGACGAGCGCTCTTGGGGGCCTCTTGGGGGTAGTGTGTGGGCCTCTTGGGAAGCTCTCAGGGGCCGCTTGGAAGCCTCGTGGGGGCCCTTTCCTCCCCCCTCCTCTCGGCGGCGGCGGCGGAGGCGGCGGCCCCGTCGGCGCCCCTCCTTCCTCCGGGGGGGGCGGATGGGTGGACTGAAGCTCTGGCAAGGCGCCGGCAGGCAAAACCATCTGCCACGGCGGCCTCCGAGCAGGCTGACCCCGCGCGCCCCGGCCAAAGGCCGGGGAGCATGCGGCAAGGCCAAAGGACGCCTACCGCATTTTCACTCTATATAAGCCTCGTGGGGGCCTCTTGGGGCTTCCTGGGGGTCTCCTGGAGGGGGCTTGGGACGTCTTGGAGGCTTCTTGGACGGTCTTGGGGCTATCGTGGGCGTTTTCGGCCGATCTTTGGGCGACTCGGGGCCCTCTTGGGCCGTCTCGGGGGCCATCTTGGGCATTCGGACCTCATTTGGAGTGTTTTCGAGGTTTCTAGGCCGCCCGAGGGAAAACGAATCTGCCCCCCCACCCCCCCCGGGACCCCCCCCCGGGACCCCCCCCGGGACCCCCCCCCCTGGGGAAGGGATCGAAGGGAAGGGGCTTCCCTTCGACTCGATTACGACACTGCTAGATTTTTCTCTCGCTCACGAGCTTGAGAAGGAAGCTGCAGGGAAAGGGGGCGACGGAGGCGACGACCGACGGAGACGACGACTCGAACAGCCAAGCCCCTCGCACACGCCGACAGGGTCGGCGGATTCCATGGTCAGGGTAGTCGTGCGCGGCGTGCTTCCAGGCCAAAGGATCGAGTCCACGACGCTCTTTGGCGTCGCGTTGATGCCGCCCCGCGTTGCCAGACCGCATATGCACAGATTGGCAGAATCTGTGTTTCAAAGTTTGTTTCATGACCCTCTCTATGGTAACAACCCCACGTTGGAATCCAAACGAAGACCAGTGTAAACCCCCAAGACTCACCAATGCTGTTTTACTATACCTTCCCTCCAAGTTTTTCATTGCCATTGAAGGAAATATCCCGTTGGACAACAGCCGTTTGACCATCCGGAACTGTCCCAGAACACCATTTTTGGGACGTCGGAGTCGCGAATCACCGTTATTGTTGCGTGTTGCCGATCCTGGATCGTGCCAGTGCATGTGAACGCTGGCCCCGGACAGTCCGACATTGTGCCAAAACGACAGTTCTGGAACGTCCGTCATGAGAATTCTCGAAACCGTGGTTAATTCTTCCATATCGCAAAAGGAACAGTCCTCGATCCGCGCAGGTGTTGCAATGTTTTCAACCGAGTTTGTGCGCGGTGCTCAGGCGCGAGCCACCTTCTGAAAACGACCTGCCCTCCATCCGCGGAGCTCTTGCGATTTGTTTTTTCGAATGTGCGCGGCGCTGGGGTCAGAGCCACATGTTGGAAGCCACCTGCTCTCCACCCGCGAAGCTGATGCAAGTTTTCCCAACCGTGTTGTGGTGTTGGTGATTCGTTTTGAAGTTACAGCGCCCCGCTTCCTCCGTTCCTCCTTTTCTTGCTCCTCCTCCTCCTCCTTCTCCTCGCATGCTTCGTGGCCCCATCCGGAGCTCCACACAAAGCCCCAGGGCCACCGTCCACATGCGTCCCCCTCACCCACTTCGGCACACCCCTCACACGTTACGTGGCCCCATAGAGGAACTCCACAACAAAAAAAGGCCCAGTGCCACCGTCCACATGCGCCCCCCCGCTCATTTCGGCACACCCCTTCTACCCTTCGTGGCCCCATAGGGAGCTCCACCGAAGGCACCAATGCCACCGTCCATATGCGTCCCCCCGCCCATTTCGGCACACCCCTCTCACGATTTGTGGCCCCATAGGGAGCTCCACCGAAGGCCACAATGCCACCGTCCACACTCGTCCCCCCCCCATTTTCTTCGGCACGCCCCTCGCACGTAGCGTGGCCCCATCGGGAGCTCGTCCGAAGTCCCCAGTGCCACCGCCTACGTGCGTCCCCCCCCCCGATCCACTTCGGCACACCCCTCACACGTTTCGTGGCCTCATAGGGAGCTCCACCGAAGGCCACAATGGCACTGTCCACACGCATCCCCCCCATCCACTTCGGCACACCCCTTACACGATTCGTGGCCCCATAAGGAGCCCCACCGAGAGCCCCAGTGCCACCGTCAACTTGCGTCCCCCCACCTACCTCGACACACCCCTCACACAATTCGTGGCCCCATCGGGATCTCCACCGAAGGTTCCAGTGCCACCGTCCACACGCGTCTCCCCCACCCACTTCGGCACACCCCTCACACGATTCGCGGCCCCATAGGGAGCTCCACCGAAGGCCCCACTGCCACCGTCCACATGCGCCCCCCCCGCTCATTTCGGCACATGCCTCACACGTTTCGTGCCCCCACAGGGAGCCCCACCGAAGTCCCCAGTACCACCGTCCATATGCGTCCCCCACACCGTTTAGGCACACCCTTCGAACGTTTCGTGAAAGGCCCGAGTGCCACCGTCCACATGCGTCTCCCCCACGTTCATGTCGGCACACCCCTCCCACGTTTCGTGGCCACATAGGGAGCTCCACCGAAGGCCCAAATGCCACCGTTCTCCGCTTCGGCACTCCCTCACACGATTCGTGGCCACAGAGGGAACTCCACCGAAGGCCCCCGTGCCACATGCGTCCCCGCACCCATGTCGGCACACCCCTCACACATTTCGTGGCCCCACAGAGGGAGCTCCACCGAAGGCCCAGTGCCACCGTCCACATGCGTCCCTCCACCCACTTCGGCACACCCCTCACACGATTCGCGGACCCATAGGGAGCTCCACCGAAGGCCCCAATGCCACCGTCCACATGCGTCCCCTGCAGTCATTTCGGCACACCCCGCACACGTTTCGTGGCTCCAGAGGGAGCTTCACCGACGGCCCCAATGCCACCGTCCGCATGCGCCCCCCGCACCCATGTCGGCACACCCCTCACACGATTCCTGGCCCCATAAGGAGATCCACCCAAGCCCCCAGTGCCACCGTCCACATGCGTCCCCCCACTCACTTCGGCACATCCCTCCAGCGCTTCGTGGCCCCATAGGGGGCTCCACCGAAAATGAGATTCACAACTGCGTTACTTACAATTCGCCAGGTTAGTTCAACACGAATGTGCGCGGCGCCAGGGCGAGAGTTAGGTTTTGAAAACGACCCGTCCTCTATCCGGGGATATGATGCACATTTTCAAGACGGATGTGCGCGGCCCTGAGGCGAGAGCAACATTTTGAAATCGACCCGCCTTTCCTATGTGAAACTTCTGCAAATTCTGAACTTCAACCCGGCCCGCCCGCCCGCCCTTCCGACCGGCCTCGGGGTGCGACAGGGAGGAGTTATTCACAAGGAAGGGGGCTGGAGGAGGAGGTGAGGGAAGAGAGGGGCCGGACGAGGAGGTGGAGGAGGAAAAGGGGGTGGATTAGCGGGGGGACCGCTGCCGCCGCCGTGGCCGTGGCGGTCGCCGTCGCAGCCCGTCGTCGGCGGAGCGCTCCCGACAGCTCCCTGCCCGCGCAGATGACATGTGGAGGCCTCTGGGGTCGCCGCCGACGTCGTCGACCGTGCCCGCGGTGATCTTTCCGCGGGGACCTCGGGAGGCCTCTGGGAGTCGTCGTCGTCGTCGTCGTCGTCGTCGTCGTCGTCGTCGTCGTCGTCGTCGTCGTCGTCGTCGACCTGCGCGCGCCAGAGGCGGTCGGCCTGCCAGCAGCCGGCAGGCGTGCGGCTGGGCGGGGGGCCGGGCGGGGCCGTTCAGTTGGGCGGCAATGGGGGCGGATGGAGGAAGGGCCGCCGCCCACCAAACCACCCCAACCCAACCTGAAGGCCCCGATTGGAATCCATTTCCAGTGCGGGGGGCCGGGGGACATTGAAAAAGCACATATGAAGCACGTACCCCCCCCCCCCCCCAAACCCGAAATTCGGGTCTTCGGGTTGGGTTGGGGTGGTCTGGTAGGCAGTCAAGGAGGGGCTTCCGCCGCCTTCTCCGTGGCCGTCGAGAGGGGGAGGACTCGTCCCCCCCTCGAAGGGGTGGGTCTTCCTCCTCCTCGTCCTGTCTCGCTCTGGCGGGGTGCCTCCCTGCTGGGCCGCCTGGTCGTCCCTTGTGGGGTCCCAGCTGGGCCAGAGGGTGCGTGTCCGCTGCAGAGCTGGCGCGCTCATGGCCCCCGGTGCCATGCCTCCAGATCCGATCAGTTTTCTCCTTTTGCTGAGCTCCTCAATCGCAAGGCTCGGGCCGGACGAAATGGGGGGATTGGGAAAGGGGGGGTTACAAAATCTGCTGCATGCAGCTGGTTTCGGCTTCACCGAGGGACCCATTCCTCGATACATAGACGCCTCCGGCGCCGGGAGGCGCTGGGAAAATCAGCTACGTGAGCTGATTCTCAAACTCCCCCTTTGCTATCCCCTCCTTTCGCCCGACCCGAAAGGCCACTCTCGCCGTCGGATCTCGCGACTGCTGGTCTGGCCGGGGGCTCTCAGTTTTTCCCAGCCATCCTGTGGTGGTGGGTCCTCGTTTTGAAGAGACGGTGCCCGCGTTCCTCCTTCCTTCCTTTCTTTCCCCTACCCTCCTCCCCCTACTCCCTCTTCTCATCATGGGCAGCATCATCAGCATCATTCGCATCATCGTCATCATCACCATCATCACCATCACCGCCATCATCGTCGCCGTTATCGTCGCCATCATCGTCGCCGTTATCGTCGCCATCATCGTCTGGGAGGAGAGTCGGGGAGGAGAGTCGGGGAGGGGACTCGGGGACGAGACTCGGGGATTGGACTCGGGGAGGAGACTCGGTGGCGAGACTCGGGGAGGAGACTCGGGGCCGAGACCCGGGGACGAGACTCGGGGAGGAGAGTCCGGGGGGAAGCCGGGGAGGAGGCCCCGGGACGAGACCCGGGGTCGAGATTCAGGAGGAGGTTCTGGGGGGAGACTCGGGGAGTAGACTCGGAGAGGGGTCTCGGGGAGGAGTCTCGGGAGGAGTCTCGGGGGGGAGTCTCGGGGACGAGACTCGGAGACGAAACTCGGGGACGAGTCTCGGGGGGGAGACTCGGAGGAGTCTCGGGGACGAGATTCGGGGTCGAGACTCGGGGAGGAGACTCGGGACGAGACTCGGGAACCAGACTCGGGGACGAGACTCGGGGACGAGACTCGGGGGTGAGACTCGGGGCCGAGACTCGGGGGCGAGATTCGGGGTGGGGACTCGGGGAGGAGACTCGGGCAGAGACTCTGGGGCGAGACTCGGGGACGAGACTCGGAGGCGAGACTCGGGGAGGGGACTCGGGGAGGAGACTCGGGGAGGAGACTCGGGGACGAGACTCGGGGAGGAGACTCGGGGAGGAGACTCGGGGAGGAGACTCAGGGAGGAGACCCGGGGAGGGGGTCCGGTGACGAGACTCAGGGAGGAGACTCTCAGGCTGTCCTCTCGGGCTCTCCGCGTGGTTCGGCGCGCCTGAAACACTTGGATCACGATCCAAGTGTTCCTGGGGTCGTGAATGTAGAATCTTCCCCTCCCCACCCGCGACCCACCCGCGAGCCAGCCACATTGCTTTAACGAAAAAATCGGCGCCTGCGGCGGGCTTGTTCAGAGCCTCTCGCAGATTGCCGATGTCCCCGCCGCCCCTTCACTTATAGATACATATATATATATACACACACATACTGGGCTACAGTGCTGGGGGCCCCCGGCCCGGTGCCCCGACCCCCCAGGCGTTCCCGGGCGCGCGCCGGGCCGGGCCCCTGGGAGAGTTCCCAGAGACGCCCAGGACGGGCCACGCGGGCCCTGATGGCCAAGAGACCCTCAAGAAGCCCCGAAGACGCCCAAGATGGCCCCACGATAGCCTAAGAAGCCCCCACTTCGGAGGCTTAAAGAAGCCTCCGAAGTGGGCCCCGAAAGGTCAAAATCGTAGATTCGCCATTGTAGCTTTCGATGTTTTTTGCTTTCTCGCCTTTTCACTTTGCCGACGCTCCAAGACGGCCGAAGAGGCCCCCCCAGAGCCCCGGGAGGCCCCCAAGCCAGCCCCAGGACGGCCCCAAGACGGCTCTGGAGGGCCCCAAGACAGCCCAGGAGGCGCCCAAGAGGGCCCACAGCGCCCCGAGAAGGTCCCAAGAGTGGGCCCAGAGGGCGACCAAACATTGAAAAGTCTAACTTTCCGCCCCGAGAGGGCCCCAGGAGGCCCCAAGAGGGCCCCAAGAGGCCCCAAGAGACCTCTAAGAGGCTTCAAGGACGCCCCCAAGAGACCCCCAAAATACCCCAAGAGGCCCCAAACAGGCTCCCCAAGAGACCTCAAATCTACCGCCCAGAAGCCCCCGAGAGGCGTACCACGAGATCCAAACGACCACTCAGGAGGCCTCGGAGCCACAACCCTGGCACGGTGGCAGGATGGGCCGAAAGCCCCAGGCGGCTCCCAGAGCCCATCCAGAGGCTCCCAAGAAGCCTCACGAGGCCCTTCACAAGCCCCCAGGAAGGCTCACCCTGCCCCGAAGGGACTCCGGCTGGGCCCCGGCTTCGACAGGGCCGATGCCGTCCTGCCGGGTGGGCGTCTCCTGAGCAAGGCCTCGGCCGGCATGACCGTCGCGGGCGCCTTCGAGCGCGCCCCGCGCGCCCAGAGCTTTGAGCGCCAGCCCAGGGGTTGTCCGTAACTGCCCCTCTTCCTCTCCTCAAGCTCGTGCTGCTCTTCCCGATTCTCTTTGTCTTCCAGCTCACTATTGTCTCGCCTTCCCTGGGTGCACTGGGCGCTGATAGGCGTGCAACTACCTGGGTGTTGCCAGGTGTGCAACTGTCGTTGCTTTCCTGCGCCTCCAGGGGTCCAGCGGAGAGACGTCCCACCCAGATCCGTACCAGACCTCACAGCCCCCCGCTGGTGACAGGCGTGCCTGCGGTCCCACCCTGGAGGCCTCCAGATAGCCTTCGGGCAGGGCCGGACAGCGCCTCAGCGGCCCAAGAAACCTCCTGGGTGAACCCTGGACGGCGCCAGTACGGCCCAGCACACCCCTGAAAAACACCCCCAGAACAGCCCGAGAGTCAGTCCAAGAGAGCTTTGCGACGTCCGAAGCCCGACACACGACGGCACGAATACTCCGTGCCCCACGACGGCCATTGCTTCCGACGACCCCGCAACTCTCGAAGTGAAGCGTCGAGACATTAAGCCAATGTGGCATGAAGGCGCTCTGGCCTGCGCTAGAACCTTAGCGCGCGCGTAGCGCGCGCGTGGTTCCTAGTATGTATATATGTGTATGCACATAGATAGTTGTACTGATACAATAAAGCTCTATCTACAGAAATCTGATCCGGCCAGACTTCAGGCCTGGTGGGGGCCGCTGGGTGCGGAGCGCACCTGGCAGGCCTAAGGCGGCCCCAGATGGCACCCAGAGGGCCCAAGACATGCCAACGGGGCTCGAAGGCGCTCAAGATGGCCCCAAGATGGCCCAAGAGGCCCCCCAGACGCCCCAAGAGAGCCCCATAGGCCTCGCAAAAGAGCCCCAAGAGGCTAAACCGTCCAACTCCCGTAGGAAAACGTACATTTTTAGCATATGCGATTTTGGGTTTTCCGACGCGTCAAGACGGCCCAAGACGCCCCCAAGACCGCCCAAAGACGGCCCAAGAGGCCCCCAAGACGCCCCCACGACGGCCCAAAAGGGCTCCAAGACAACCCCAGAGGCGCCCAAGACGGCCCAAACGAGCCCCAAGACGGCCCCCGAGACCGTCAGCAGGCCCCAACAAGCCCCAAGAGGCACCCAAGAGGCGGAGAGGCCCCAGGAGGCGTCCTGAAAGGCCCCGGTAGATCTAACCTCGAAGCGTACAGAGGACCGCTCGCCTTAGCCGCCCCCCCGATCATGTATCGAACCGAAGAACCAATTAGTACGGCGACGGTCAGAAAGTCATTATGTATGTACACACTAGTGGCACGTGTGTGCCCAGGCTCATACAACAATTATAGCCGGAGTGCAGCATCCCCGAACAGGGATTTTCAACCAACTGCGGTTTCCAAGGTCGATTGCGTGCCCGTCCAGTGCGGGCTGGCATGGCATGTTAGAACATGCCTCCTCCTCCTCCTCCTCCTCCTCCACCTCCTCTTCATCCCGAACGGCATCTCGGAGCCCAGAGTTGCGAGGATGTCTCCAGCGTAACGGGCTGGACCACCTCGCGCGCGGCATCTCCGACCTCAGAGTTGCGACGATGTCTCGGGCGAAACGTGCTGCGAGTAAGTCTCAGGCGAAACGGGCCGGACCACCTCGAGCGCGGCGTCTCAGAGCTCCGATTTGCTTGGGCCTCCTGGGGCCTCCTGGGGCCTCCTGGGGACCTCCTGGGGCTTCCTCTTGGGCGTCCTGAGGTCTCCTGGACTCCACCTGGGCTTCCTGAAGCCTCTTGGGGCTCCCAGGGGGGGATATCTGACACGTGGCCGTTGGGCCCCCCAAAATGGGGGGGGAAGGGGCACAAGAGCAGGAACAAAAATCAACGAATCGGCACCGGATGTGTATCAACTTGACACGTTCTGAACGGAGGCCTCCTGGGGCCTCCTGGGAGCCTCCTGGGAATCTCCTGGGGACCCCTGGGGCCTGTCCTGGGCGTCCTGCGGCCTCCTGAAGCTCTCTGGTGCCTCCTGGGGCTCCCAGGGTCCCAGGGGAGATATGTAACATGTGGTCTTCTGGGCCCTCAGGCTGGACCACCTCTTGCGCGGCATCTGGGAGCTCAGAGTTGCGAGAATGTCTTGTGCGAAACGCGCC